AACATTCAGCACAGGACGGGTCAGAAGGGATCCGCGGTCGATAGTGCGCCGAATGGCCTATCGCTCGTCGATGATACTCGATTGACAACATGACCAATGGGTCGGCAGTTCTTCTCAAAGGAGTCCGCGCCGTCTCGCGTTTACGTCATCCAGGTTTTTCGTCGAAGATTGGTCAAAGTTGGCACGTCGATGAAGAGGTTTGGTGGAATCTCATGCGGGTGAAAGAGTAAAGGGCAAGAGCTGCATTGTGTTGCCGGTGATTTGACTCGGATGCATTCGGTCCCCTTTGCCTACTTTTTTTCGGGAGCGAATGACGGTTGTCTCTTGTTGTCACTATGACGCACATAAATAGCCGCTCACGTTATGTCGCTCTTGTCAGGCGAAGCAGGGCCCGTCTCATACATACGGATGCATGCGTACTTGACCGGCCATTTTTGATAGGTCAAAGAGAGCGACCGTGAGATGGTTCCCGGTCTCGTCTGTCGATGGAAGGGATGTTAAACATTCAGCACAGGACGGGTCAGAATGGATCTGCGGTCGGTAGTGCGCACGAATGGCCTATCGCTTGTGGATGTGGCTCGATTGACAACATTTCCAACGGGTACCAATTCATTGTCGACGTTGCCACGGTTTCATGTCTACACTTTGCCTAGATTTTCCGCTGGAGAATTGCTACGATCTGGTGTGTGGATCACGAAAGGTGTCGAGCGCTTGTGGGTAGAAATGAACATGAGGCAGGAGAATCTTTGCTGTGCTGGAGACATGACTACCGCACATGTATTGATTGTCGCTAGCATCTTTCGTTAGACCGAATGATGTGTGTGTCTGTTGTTGTTCCTAGGACGCAAATATTGAGCCTTTCATGCTACAACCATCTTGCAAAGAGCTGCTTGGCTGGTGTTTGACCCATCCATGCTTACCGGGTCGTACATCGTTGGAATGTAAAAGAAAGTGAGCTCGAGCTGGTTAGCGGTCTCGTCTTGCGATGGAAGAGTCGTGGCTTCAAAAATTCAGCTTGCGACGGAAATGAACGCGTTTCGCGAACAACAAAGGGCACACAAATCGTTTTTGCTCATCGGCATGCCATCATTTCCCACGGTCGTTCTCGAAGGTGTCCGCGGCGTCACGATTACACACCAGCACGATTTTCTTTTGAAGGACTGGTCCGATTCCGCGTATGGATCACAGAGGTTGTGGACACTCGTTCGGGGAGTAGTGACACGAGTACGATTGGGCTGCTAGTGGGATGATGGCTGAGGCACCATAGTTCTTGTTTTCCGCAGCCCGGCGGGCATATCCTGGCTATGCTGCAGCGTATTGCGCACCTGTGGGTTGTGTTTGGCTACTTTTTGTGGTCTGGATGATGGTCTATCTCTTGTTCTCTTCCAGCTATGCACATACATAGCCTTTCCCGCTACCTCGCTCTTGGCAGGGACGACGTGGCCGGTCTCACAAATACGAATACGTACTTGGCCGGCCATTTTCGATAGGTCAAAGAGAGCGACCTTGAGATGGTTCGTGGTCTCGTCTGTCGTTGGAAGGGACCTTAAACATTCAGCACAGGACGGGTCAGAAGGGATCCGCGGTCGATAGTGCGCCGAATGGCCTATCGCTCGTCGATGATACTCGATTGACAACATGACCAATGGGTCGGCAGTTCTTCTCGAAGGAGTCCGCGCCGTCTCGCGTTTACGTCATCCAGGTTTTTCGTCGAAGATTGGTCAAAGTTGGCACGTCGATGAAGAGGTTTGGTGGAATCTCATGCGGGTGAAAGAGTAAAGGGCAAGAGCTGCATTGTGTTGCCGGTGATTTGACTCGGATGCATTCGGTCCCCTTTGCCTACTTTTTTTTCGGGAGCGAATGACGGTTGTCTCTTGTTGTCACTATGACGCACATAAATAGCCGCTCACGTTATGTCGCTCTTGTCAGGCGAAGCAGGGCCCGTCTCATACATACGGATGCATGCGTACTTGACCGGCCATTTTTGATAGGTCAAAGAGAGCGACCGTGAGATGGTTCCCGGTCTCGTCTGTCGATGGAAGGGATGTTAAACATTCAGCACAGGACGGGTCAGAATGGATCTGCGGTCGGTAGTGCGCACGAATGGCCTATCGCTTGTGGATGTGGCTCGATTGACAACATTTCCAACGGGTACCAATTCATTGTCGACGTTGCCACGGTTTCATGTCTACACTTTGCCTAGATTTTCCGCTGGAGAATTGCTACGATCTGGTGTGTGGATCACGAAAGGTGTCGAGCGCTTGTGGGTAGAAATGAACATGAGGCAGGAGAATCTTTGCTGTGCTGGAGACATGACTACCGCACATGTATTGATTGTCGCTAGCATCTTTCGTTAGACCGAATGATGTGTGTGTCTGTTGTTGTTCCTAGGACGCAAATATTGAGCCTTTCATGCTACAACCATCTTGCAAAGAGCTGCTTGGCTGGTGTTTGACCCATCCATGCTTACCGGGTCGTACATCGTTGGAATGTAAAAGAAAGTGAGCTCGAGCTGGTTAGCGGTCTCGTCTTGCGATGGAAGAGTCGTGGCTTCAAAAAATTCAGCTTGCGACGGAAATGAACGCGTTTCGCGAACAACAAAGGGCACACAAATCGTTTTTGCTCATCGGCATGCCATCATTTCCCACGGTCGTTCTCGAAGGTGTCCGCGGCGTCACGATTACACACCAGCACGATTTTCTTTTTGAAGGACTGGTCCGATTCCGCGTATGGATCACAGAGGTTGTGGACACTCGTTCGGGGAGTAGTGACACGAGTACGATTGGGCTGCTAGTGGGATGATGGCTGAGGCACCATAGTTCTTGTTTTCCGCAGCCCGGCGGGCATATCCTGGCTATGCTGCAGCGTATTGCGCACCTGTGGGTTGTGTTTGGCTACTTTTTGTGGTCTGGATGATGGTCTATCTCTTGTTCTCTTCCAGCTATGCACACACATAGCCTTTCCCGCTACCTCGCTCTTGGCAGGGACGACGTGGCCGGTCTCACAAATACGAATACGTACTTGGCCGGCCATTTTCGATAGGTCCAAAGAGAGCGACCTTGAGATGGTTCGTGGTCTCGTCTGTCGTTGGAAGGGACCTTAAACATTCAGCACAGGACGGGTCAGAAGGGATCCGCGGTCGATAGTGCGCCGAATGGCCTATCGCTCGTCGATGATACTCGATTGACAACATGACCAATGGGTCGGCAGTTCTTCTCGAAGGAGTCCGCGCCGTCTCGCGTTTACGTCATCCAGGTTTTTCGTCGAAGATTGGTCAAAGTTGGCACGTCGATGAAGAGGTTTGGTGGAATCTCATGCGGGTGAAAGAGTAAAGGGCAAGAGCTGCATTGTGTTGCCGGTGATTTGACTCGGATGCATTCGGTCCCCTTTGCCTACTTTTTTTTCGGGAGCGAATGACGGTTGTCTCTTGTTGTCACTATGACGCACATAAATAGCCGCTCACGTTATGTCGCTCTTGTCAGGCGAAGCAGGGCCCGTCTCATACATACGGATGCATGCGTACTTGACCGGCCATTTTTGATAGGTCAAAGAGAGCGACCGTGAGATGGTTCCCGGTCTCGTCTGTCGATGGAAGGGATGTTAAACATTCAGCACAGGACGGGTCAGAATGGATCTGCGGTCGGTAGTGCGCACGAATGGCCTATCGCTTGTGGATGTGGCTCGATTGACAACATTTCCAACGGGTACCAATTCATTGTCGACGTTGCCACGGTTTCATGTCTACACTTTGCCTAGATTTTCCGCTGGAGAATTGCTACGATCTGGTGTGTGGATCACGAAAGGTGTCGAGCGCTTGTGGGTAGAAATGAACATGAGGCAGGAGAATCTTTGCTGTGCTGGAGACATGACTACCGCACATGTATTGATTGTCGCTAGCATCTTTCGTTAGACCGAATGATGTGTGTGTCTGTTGTTGTTCCTAGGACGCAAATATTGAGCCTTTCATGCTACAACCATCTTGCAAAGAGCTGCTTGGCTGGTGTTTGACCCATCCGTGCTTACCGGGTCGTACATCGTTGGAATGTAAAAGAAAGTGAGCTCGAGCTGGTTAGCGGTCTCGTCTTGCGATGGAAGAGTCGTGGCTTCAAAAAATTCAGCTTGCGACGGAAATGAACGCGTTTCGCGAACAACAAAGGGCACACAAATCGTTTTTGCTCATCGGCATGCCATCATTTCCCACGGTCGTTCTCGAAGGTGTCCGCGGCGTCACGATTACACACCAGCACGATTTTCTTTTGAAGGACTGGTCCGATTCCGCGTATGGATCACAGAGGTTGTGGACACTCGTTCGGGGAGTAGTGACACGAGTACGATTGGGCTGCTAGTGGGATGATGGCTGAGGCACCATAGTTCTTGTTTTCCGCAGCCCGGCGGGCATATCCTGGCTATGCTGCAGCGTATTGCGCACCTGTGGGTTGTGTTTGGCTACTTTTTGTGGTCTGGATGATGGTCTATCTCTTGTTCTCTTCCAGCTATGCACATACATAGCCTTTCCCGCTACCTCGCTCTTGGCAGGGACGACGTGGCCGGTCCCACAAATACGAATACGTACTTGGCCGGCCATTTCGATAGGCCAAAGAGAGCGACCTTGAGATGGTTCGTGGTCTCGTCTGTCGTTGGAAGGGACCTTAAACATTCAGCACAGGACGGGTCAGAAGGGATCCGCGGTCGATAGTGCGCCGAATGGCCTATCGCTCGTCGATGGATACTCGATTGACAACATGACCAATGGGTCGGCAGTTCTTCTCAAAGGAGTCCGCGCCGTCTCGCGTTTACGTCATCCAGGTTTTTCGTCGAAGATTGGTCAAATTGGCCTCTGAAGGTTGGTGGGGATTTCCTCGGGTGAAAAAAAGAAAGGGGGAAAGGGACATTTTGTTGCGGGGGGTTTTTCCCGATGCTTTGTACCCCTTTGCCTACTTTTTTTCGGGAGCGAATGACGGTTGTCTCTTGTTGTCACTATGACGCACATAAATAGCCGCTCACGTTATGTCGCTCTTGTCAGGCGAAGCAGGGCCCGTCTCAAACATACGGATGCATGCGTACTTGACCGGCCATTTTTGATAGGTCAAAGAGACCGCCGGGGGGGGGCCCCCCCTCGCCTGTGGGGGGGGGGGTGGTTGATACTTCCCCCCCAGCCCGGGACCAGTGGGGCTGCGGGCGGCGGGGCGCCGGGATGCCCTTGCCCCCCGCCGGGACACCGCTCTCCCCCTGTCCCCCAGGCGGCCGGTGCTCCTCTTGGTGGCGGGCGCCCCCCCCCCGCGCGTGGCCCTCCGGGTTTTTTTCGGTGGGGGGGGGTTGGTGGGGGGGGGGTGGAGGTTGGGGGGGGGGTGGTGGGGGGGGGAGGGGGGGGGGGAGAGGGAGGGGGGGGGGGGGGGGGGGGTTGGGGGGGTTCGCGGGCCCCCTTCCCTTCCTTTTTTTTTTTTTCGGGAGCGAATGACGGTTGTCTCTTGTTGTCACTATGACGCACATAAATAGCCGCTCACGTTATGTCGCTCTTGTCAGGCGAAGCAGGGCCCGTCTCATACATACGGATGCATGCGTACTTGACCGGCCATTTTTGATAGGTCAAAGAGAGCGACCGTGAGATGGTTCCCGGTCTCGTCTGTCGATGGAAGGGATGTTAAACATTCAGCACAGGACGGGTCAGAATGGATCTGCGGTCGGTAGTGCGCACGAATGGCCTATCGCTTGTGGATGTGGCTCGATTGACAACATTTCCAACGGGTACCAATTCATTGTCGACGTTGCCACGGTTTCATGTCTACACTTTGCCTAGATTTTCCGTCGTAGAATTGCTACGATCTGGTGTGTGGATCACGAAAGGTGTCGAGCGCTTGTGGGTAGAAATGAACATGAGGCAGGAGAATCTTTGCTGTGCTGGAGACATGACTACCGCACATGTATTGATTGTCGCTAGCATCTTTCGTTAGACCGAATGATGTGTGTCTGTTGTTGTTCCTAGGACGCAAATATTGAGCCTTTCATGCTACAACCATCTTGCAAAGAGCTGCTTGGCTGGTGTTTGACCCATCCATGCTTACCGGGTCGTACATCGTTGGAATGTAAAAGAAAGTGAGCTCGAGCTGGTTAGCGGTCTCGTCTTGCGATGGAAGAGTCGTGGCTTCAAGAAATGCAGCTTGCGACGGAAATGAACGCGTTTCGCGAACAACAAAGGGCACACAAATCGTTTTTGCTCATCGGCATGCCATCATTTCCCACGGTCGTTCTCGAAGGTGTCCGCGGCGTCACGATTACACACCAGCACGATTTTCTTTTGAAGGACTGGTCCGATTCCGCGTATGGATCACAGAGGTTGTGGACACTCGTTCGGGGAGTAGTGACACGAGTACGATTGGGCTGCTAGTGGGATGATGGCTGAGGCACCATAGTTCTTGTTTTCCGCAGCCCGGCGGGCATATCCTGGCTATGCTGCAGCGTATTGCGCACCTGTGGGTTGTGTTTGGCTACTTTTTGTGGCCTGGATGATGGTCTGCCTCTTGTTCTCTTACAGCTATGCACACGCATAGCCTTTCCCTCTACCTCGCTCTTGGCAGGGACGACGTGGCCGGTCTCACAAATACGAATACGTACTTGGCCGGCCATTTTCGATAGGCCAAAGAGAGCGACCTTGAGATGGTTCGTGGTCTCGTCTGTCGTTGGAAGGGACCTTAAACATTCAGCACAGGACGGGTCAGAAGGGATCCGCGGTCGATAGTGCGCCGAATGGCCTATCGCTCGTCGATGATACTCGATTGACAACATGACCAATGGGTCGGCAGTTCTTCTCGAAGGAGTCCGCGCCGTCTCGCGTTTACGTCATCCAGGTTTTTCGTCGAAGATTGGTCAAAGTTGGCACGTCGATGAAGAGGTTTGGTGGAATCTCATGCGGGTGAAAGAGTAAAGGGCAAGAGCTGCATTGTGTTGCCGGTGATTTGACTCGGATGCATTCGGTCCCCTTTGCCTACTTTTTTTTCGGGAGCGAATGACGGTTGTCTCTTGTTGTCACTATGACGCACATAAATAGCCGCTCACGTTATGTCGCTCTTGTCAGGCGAAGCAGGGCCCGTCTCATACATACGGATGCATGCGTACTTGACCGGCCATTTTTGATAGGTCAAAGAGAGCGACCGTGAGATGGTTCCCGGTCTCGTCTGTCGATGGAAGGGATGTTAAACATTCAGCACAGGACGGGTCAGAATGGATCTGCGGTCGGTAGTGCGCACGAATGGCCTATCGCTTGTGGATGTGGCTCGATTGACAACATTTCCAACGGGTACCAATTCATTGTCGACGTTGCCACGGTTTCATGTCTACACTTTGCCTAGATTTTCCGCTGGAGAATTGCTACGATCTGGTGTGTGGATCACGAAAGGTGTCGAGCGCTTGTGGGTAGAAATGAACATGAGGCAGGAGAATCTCTGCTGTGCTGGAGACATGACTACCGCACATGTATTGATTGTCGCTAGCATCTTTCGTTAGACCGAATGATGTGTGTGTCTGTTGTTGTTCCTAGGACGCAAATATTGAGCCTTTCATGCTACAACCATCTTGCAAAGAGCTGCTTGGCTGGTGTTTGACCCATCCATGCTTACCGGGTCGTACATCGTTGGAATGTAAAAGAAAGTGAGCTCGAGCTGGTTAGCGGTCTCGTCTTGCGATGGAAGAGTCGTGGCTTCAAAAAATTCAGCTTGCGACGGAAATGAACGCGTTTCGCGAACAACAAAGGGCACACAAATCGTTTTTGCTCATCGGCATGCCATCATTTCCCACGGTCGTTCTCGAAGGTGTCCGCGGCGTCACGATTACACACCAGCACGATTTTCTTTTGAAGGACTGGTCCGATTCCGCGTATGGATCACAGAGGTTGTGGACACTCGTTCGGGGAGTAGTGACACGAGTACGATTGGGCTGCTAGTGGGATGATGGCTGAGGCACCATAGTTCTTGTTTTCCGCAGCCCGGCGGGCATATCCTGGCTATGCTGCAGCGTATTGCGCACCTGTGGGTTGTGTTTGGCTACTTTTTGTGGCCTGGATGATGGTCTGCCTCTTGTTCTCTTACAGCTATGCACACGCATAGCCTTTCCCGCTACCTCGCTCTTGGCAGGGACGGCGTGGCCGGTCTCACAAATACGAATACGTACTTGGCCGGCCATTTTCGATAGGCCAAAGAGAGCGACCTTGAGATGGTTCGTGGTCTCGTCTGTCGTTGGAAGGGACCTTAAACATTCAGCACAGGACGGGTCAGAAGGGATCCGCGGTCGATAGTGCGCCGAATGGCCTATCGCTCGTCGATGATACTCGATTGACAACATGACCAATGGGTCGGCAGTTCTTCTCGAAGGAGTCCGCGCCGTCTCGCGTTTACGTCATCCAGGTTTTTCGTCGAAGATTGGTCAAAGTTGGCACGTCGATGAAGAGGTTTGGTGGAATCTCATGCGGGTGAAAGAGTAAAGGGCAAGAGCTGCATTGTGTTGCCGGTGATTTGACTCGGATGCATTCGGTCCCCTTTGCCTACTTTTTTCGGGAGCGAATGACGGTTGTCTCTTGTTGTCACTATGACGCACATAAATAGCCGCTCACGTTATGTCGCTCTTGTCAGGCGAAGCAGGGCCCGTCTCATACATACGGATGCATGCGTACTTGACCGGCCATTTTTGATAGGTCAAAGAGAGCGACCGTGAGATGGTTCCCGGTCTCGTCTGTCGATGGAAGGGATGTTAAACATTCAGCACAGGACGGGTCAGAATGGATCTGCGGTCGGTAGTGCGCACGAATGGCCTATCGCTTGTGGATGTGGCTCGATTGACAACATTTCCAACGGGTACCAATTCATTGTCGACGTTGCCACGGTTTCATGTCTACACTTTGCCTAGATTTTCCGCTGGAGAATTGCTACGATCTGGTGTGTGGATCACGAAAGGTGTCGAGCGCTTGTGGGTAGAAATGAACATGAGGCAGGAGAATCTTTGCTGTGCTGGAGACATGACTACCGCACATGTATTGATTGTCGCTAGCATCTTTCGTTAGACCGAATGATGTGTGTGTCTGTTGTTGTTCCTAGGACGCAAATATTGAGCCTTTCATGCTACAACCATCTTGCAAAGAGCTGCTTGGCTGGTGTTTGACCCATCCATGCTTACCGGGTCGTACATCGTTGGAATGTAAAAGAAAGTGAGCTCGAGCTGGTTAGCGGTCTCGTCTTGCGATGGAAGAGTCGTGGCTTCAAAAAATTCAGCTTGCGACGGAAATGAACGCGTTTCGCGAACAACAAAGGGCACACAAATCGTTTTTTGCTCATCGGCATGCCATCATTTCCCACGGTCGTTCTCGAAGGTGTCCGCGGCGTCACGATTACACACCAGCACGATTTTCTTTTGAAGGACTGGTCCGATTCCGCGTATGGATCACAGAGGTTGTGGACACTCGTTCGGGGAGTAGTGACACGAGTACGATTGGGCTGCTAGTGGGATGATGGCTGAGGCACCATAGTTCTTGTTTTCCGCAGCCCGGCGGGCATATCCTGGCTATGCTGCAGCGTATTGCGCACCTGTGGGTTGTGTTTGGCTACTTTTTGTGGTCTGGATGATGGTCTATCTCTTGTTCTCTTCCAGCTATGCACATACATAGCCTTTCCCGCTACCTCGCTCTTGGCAGGGACGACGTGGCCGGTCTCACAAATACGAATACGTACTTGGCCGGCCATTTTCGATAGGTCAAAGAGAGCGACCTTGAGATGGTTCGCGGTCTCGTCTGTCGTTGGAAGGGACCTTAAACATTCAGCACAGGACGGGTCAGAAGGGATCCGCGGTCGATAGTGCGCCGAATGGCCTATCGCTCGTCGATGATACTCGATTGACAACATGACCAATGGGTCGGCAGTTCTTCTCGAAGGAGTCCGCGCCGTCTCGCGTTTACGTCATCCAGGTTTTTCGTCGAAGATTGGTCAAAGTTGGCACGTCGATGAAGAGGTTTGGTGGAATCTCATGCGGGTGAAAGAGTAAAGGGCAAGAGCTGCATTGTGTTGCCGGTGATTTGACTCGGATGCATTCGGTCCCCTTTGCCTACTTTTTTTTCGGGAGCGAATGACGGTTGTCTCTTGTTGTCACTATGACGCACATAAATAGCCGCTCACGTTATGTCGCTCTTGTCAGGCGAAGCAGGGCCCGTCTCATACATACGGATGCATGCGTACTTGACCGGCCATTTTTGATAGGTCAAAGAGAGCGACCGTGAGATGGTTCCCGGTCTCGTCTGTCGATGGAAGGGATGTTAAACATTCAGCACAGGACGGGTCAGAATGGATCTGCGGTCGGTAGTGCGCACGAATGGCCTATCGCTTGTGGATGTGGCTCGATTGACAACATTTCCAACGGGTACCAATTCATTGTCGACGTTGCCACGGTTTCATGTCTACACTTTGCCTAGATTTTCCGCTGGAGAATTGCTACGATCTGGTGTGTGGATCACGAAAGGTGTCGAGCGCTTGTGGGTAGAAATGAACATGAGGCAGGAGAATCTTTGCTGTGCTGGAGACATGACTACCGCACATGTATT